GGTCGTGATCTCGTTCTCTAAGAATTTCTGTGGGAAGAGGCAAGAGGGGAAAGTCGTTGTCAGGCCTAAGTCTGCTTCCATCACTTACGTGAGAAAATTCCTGGTAAGAATTAGATAAAGATAACTGCCAATGCTTAGAGAGCACAGACCATGTGCCAGAAATCTTACAAACGGTGTGTCTTTTGTCTCCATTTAATCCTCCCAATAGCCCTATGTAGGCAGGCTTGGCTGGCCTGGGTGGGGCGATTATGATCCCTGTTTTACAGACAAGGGAACTGAGGCACAGAGAAATTCAATACATTTCCCAGCATTGCTTGGCTGGTACTTGGCAGAGTTGAACCTAAGCCACCTCCCGAATCTCTGACTTCACCATGTGACACTGTATTATGTCCAGAGATAGCACCTGTGGTGGTTACCAACATCACCGGTTCTTTCCCGATATCTATTCTTTCTTCGTTGCCAGTGGAAGCCTAGTATTCAGCTGGTTGCAAGGCCATGTGCAATGGAGACTTACATTTGTCAGCCTCCTTTTCAGTAGAGCACCGTCAGACGACAAGGTCTGGCCCATGGAGCATGGGCAGATGTGAGATCCTAACTCCCAGACGAGTGTCCTCAGAGCGTGAGGTGTGCCCTTTCTTTTTCTGCCTCTCTCCTTTTCGCCACTTGCAATGCGGACCGTATTGCTCCGGCAGCCACATTGGTCCATGAGACAACTTAGGGAATGGAAGCCACATGTGGTGGAGCAAAAGGCTAGGCAGAGCCTGGGTCCCTGACACCATCTGCTTTAGATATCTAATGTTGTATGACCAAACACCCTAAATGTAGGGGCTTACAACACCAATGATCATTACCTTTCTTTTTTAGTTATTTTCTCAGTTTCCGTGGGTCAGACGTTCAGGATCTGTATCCGAGGAGGCTCACTCACATGGGTGGGAAGTTGGTGCTGGCTGTCAGCTGGGGATGTCGGTTCCCCTCTCCATAGACCTCTCCACAGGAGAACTCGAGTGTCCGCATGTCATGGTGGCTGCTGTCCCCAGAGTGAGTGACTCTAGAGAACAGGCAGAAGCTCAGTGCCTTATCAGCTAGATTCGGAAGGCACATGCTGTGACGTTTGCTGTATTCTTTGGTCACACAGTCAGATCTGACCCAGAGGGGCCTACAGCAGGGAAGTGAATGCCAGGAGACCAGGATCATTGAAGGCTACCTGGGAGGCTGGCTACCACACCACAAAATGCCACGCTTGCAAACACTGTGCACGTGAGAGAGAAATACTTACCTTGTTGAACTGAACTTAAGGTTATGATTACGTATCTATGAGTCCTGGACAAAAAAGTAGGCCCTCAATAAATTCTAACTATTGTTGGTCTTTTTCTCCAAGTAGGTTGAGGTTTAGTACGATGTGTCCCCTCATCTGCACACACACATACACACATGTACCACCACCATCTCGGTCAAGGTTTGGTACAAAGTTGGTGTAGGAGGCTGCATTTTCGCCTTTTTATTCATTCATTCAGTCCATCAGTCCCTCAGTCAACAAGTATTCATTACTGCCCACAGTGTGCCAGGCTCTGGCCTAGGATTCTAGAATACATTCCCTGCCTTTAGAGAATGCACAGTCTAATGGAGGGGGCAACACAATGAGATGAAAAATAACCCAATTTCTCTGCCACTAGAGAAATGCAGATTGAAACAGGGGGTCAGATGATTCCAAGCACCAGGGACAATGTGGGGGAAGTGGTCTCTCATGCCCAGCTGGTGGGCATGTGGGGCTGCAGCAGGCCTCCTGCCTAAGAATCCTGCCCACCCCAGGAACACACACTGGAGTCTATGAAAGTCACACAGCAGAAGTTCACAGCTTCACTTGGGGACGTGGGAGGTGGAAGTAGCCACAGTGTCCATCACTAAAGGGATGGAAAGAGGAGACACGGGGAATTTATGTGCGCCATGCACCCTAAGCCACAGTCTTGAGTTAGACTCAGCTCACTGAGCCAAGTGTTGAGTAACCAAAATAACCCCAAAAACAGATCTGTAGAAATGACCATTTGCATAAATTTATAACACACTCACACAAATCAGCACTATATAGTTTATAATGATACATACTAATTTAAGGACAGGAATCAAACATATTAGAGTGAACCCAGGGAGCATGAGTGGGGAGGGGTGGGGGATTGGAATGGGGGGTTGAGGACAAATATGTGATACCTTAATCAATAAAGAAATTTTAAAAAAGAGAGAGAGAGAGAGAGATACTGTAAAGCTACCCAGTACAATATTGGTGAGGGAATAAACAAATAGGACAATGGCCGAAATAGGAAGCCCAGAAATAGACCCCATAAATATAGGCGACTGGCCTTTGACAAGGGAGTAAAGGCAACACAATGGAGCAAAGTCTCTTCAACAAATAGTGCTTGGTTGAGGGCACATCCCCAGTAGAGGGTGTACAAGAGGCAGCTGGTCAATGTTTCTCTCTCATCGATGTTTCTAACTCTCTATCCTTCCTCTCTGTAAAAAATCAATAAAATATATTTTTTTGAAAAGAAAAGAAAAGAAGTAAAGCAGGGTAGAGGGGAGGTGGCAGGGTGCTGGGAGGTGGAAGGGACAGGTGCTGTTTCAGTCCCAGCAGTCAGGGAAAGCCTCCTGAGGAGAGGAGAGGAGAGGGAAGGCTGGGGGAAAGGGAATGAGACATGGAGTTATCTGGGGAAAGGGCATGCCAGGCAGAGGTGAGCTCCAGGGTGAGTGAGGAGGCCAGTGTGCCCGGAGCAGAGGACAGAGGAGCCGAAGCCTCTTGTGCGGGGGGGCTGAGAATGTGACAGGACCCCCTCCCCACTCCCTGGAACAAAGCCTAGAGCAGAGTCAGAGCTGCCCCTCCGCCGCCCCTCACACACTGCCACCAGCTCCTCTCAGCCGGTGAGCGCTTGTGGGGGTCAGTCAGGCCCGGGCTTTTTTGGCATAAACTCAGGGAGCCATCAGCAGCCCGGCTAAGGGGTACCATTTTTCAGTTTTCAGAGCAGGAACCTGAGACTTCAAGGAGCAGCTCGCCTTGGGCCGGAACCCTCTCTCTGATGCCAGACCCTGGCTTGCTCCAGCCACATTGTCCTGGAATTCTTTGTTTACAACTCGCCTTCCCCTCTGGGCTGCCTGCAGGCCAGGCTCGGTCTCATTCATGATTTTTATTTTTCTCCCGGGGTCCCATGTGTCAAAACCTGCCTGTGGAGCAAATGAATGAATGAGCCTACCACGCCTGCCCCCTCCCGCCTTCCTTCGGGGCCAAGTTCACGCCCTGTTTGGCTTCTCCCATCAGGCTGGAGAGGAGAGGGGGCTGGACAGAGGAATTTCAAGCCACCTGAAAGTGAAGAACTGAAGAGAGGGGGTGAAGGGGGGGAAAGCGAAAGTGAAGGGCTCCGGGAGCCCCTGTAAGGAGGCGCAGACAGGGAAGGAAATCTCCCGGTAATAATTCATGGCTCAGGAAGCAGCAGCCTGGCCTGGGGCTGCCTGTGGGACTGGCCTCGCGGAGAGGGGGCTGTGCAACCTCCCTCTCTGCCTCAGGAAAGCCCAGCCTGGCCAAGGTCATGGTCAAATGAAGGGGCAGGGGGAGCCAGGTGTGGGAATAGACTTTTCTTCAGACAACTGAGCCTGGAGTCTTCAGGGGCTGCTCTCCCGGCAGCCAGGGGACAGCCTGCAGCCCCACCCCCCAATCTGGCCTGGGTCAAGGAAGTCGGTAAAGTGCATGGCAGGGCTGGGAAGCATCTTCAAGAAAGGAAGGAAAATGGAGCCAGAAAGTACCTTGGAGCCTTTCAACTCCACTCCCTGCACTCTCTCTGGCACTCCAGCTGCCATTGGAGCTGAAGAGAAAGTTATTGTCCAGGCCAAGTGGATGAAGTCTTGGCCAGTCCCCAGGATGGAGCTGGGAAGGAGGCATGAGTGACACAGGGACCCCAGACATCATCAGCTCAGCTACTCTTCCCAGAGCCTCTGAGGAGGAAGACATGCCAGACTGGACAATGTAAGGTTTCCTGAAGGAAGGCAGGCAATAGGGAAGATAGCCTCTGTGTGTGTGTGTGTGTGTGTGTGTGTGTGTGTGTGTGTGACACATATAATAGGAAGGAACTGAGACATATTTATTGAATGAATAAATGAATGAATGAGCTACTGGTGTTTTTGTCCTTTTATTTAAAAAACAAACAAACACTTTTATTGATTTCAGAGATGAAGGGAAAGAGAGAGCAACATCAATGATGAGAAAGAATCATTGTTTATAGCTGCCTCCTGCACGCCCCCTACTGGGGATGGAGCCCGCAACCCGGGCATGTGCCCTTGATCGGATTCGAATCTGGACCCTTCAGTCCGCAGGCCGACGCTCTATCCACTGAGCCAAACCAGCGAGGGCTAGTGTTTTAGTTCTTGCTTTGCTTTGGTTTTGTTGCTTTTTTGTCCTCGGGGATGTGACACCTTATTTGGAAAGATTATAATGTTTCTCCAAGTGTTCTCCATGGACATCTCCAGCGTGGATGTCCTGCTAATTCCTGGGCCCAGGTCCAGACCTGCCAGATCAGAATGGGAGGAACCAGGCATCTGTCCTGTCAATTCCCTTCTTCCCTTCCCCAGTCCTTACACAGGGGAGTTTCAGAACCACAGAATTAGAAGTTGAGGGCACAAAAACCCGAGCTGCTTTCTCCCCATCCTACTACCGAACGAGGAGGCTGAAGCCGGGCCAGAGGGGACCTGTTGGCAATCTCTGCAGGGTCAGGATGCGGGTACCAAGTCCGTTTTTGCGCACATGCCACTCGACCCATCCAGACTGCCGGCGGCGCTTGCCCGGCTCGCCCGCGGGGACCGGGAGCTTTCGGGGCGGGCCACCCGCTCCCGGGACGCTTTCAACTCGGGGGCCGGGGGCGGCGGGCGAGTCGCCATTGGCCGGGGCCCGGCGGGCGCGTCCTCATTGGCCAGGAGGGAGCCCACCCGCCCGGGCCGGGGCGGCCGCGGGGCTGGCCCCTCCCTCGGCTATAAGGCGGCGGCCGGCGGGGCCGTGGGAGCGCGCGGAGCGCACGGCGGGGCGCGGCCGAGGCTGGGGCGCGGCGCTCGGAGGGACGCGGTCCCAGTGCCCATGGCGTTCGCGCTGCTGCGCCCCGTCGGCGCGCACGTGCTGTACCCGGACGTGCGGCTGCTGAGCGAGGACGAGGAGAACCGCAGCGAGAGCGACGCCTCCGACCAGTCCTTCGGCTGCTGCGAGGGCCTGGAGGCGGCGCGGCGCGGCCCGGGGCCCGGGGGCGGCCGGCGGGCGGGCGGCGGCGGCGCGGGCCCGGTGGTGGTGGTGCGGCAGCGGCAGGCGGCCAACGCGCGGGAGCGGGACCGCACGCAGAGCGTGAACACGGCCTTCACGGCGCTGCGCACGCTCATCCCCACCGAGCCGGTGGACCGCAAGCTGTCCAAGATCGAGACGCTGCGCCTGGCGTCCAGCTACATCGCGCACCTGGCCAACGTGCTGCTGCTGGGCGACGCGGCGGACGACGGGCAGCCGTGCTTCCGAGCGGCCGGCGGCGCCAAGAGCGCCCTGCCCGCCGGCCCCGACGGCGGCCGCCAGCCGCGCTCCATCTGCACCTTCTGCCTCAGCAACCAGCGCAAGGGGGTGAGTGCGAGGCGCCCCGGGACTGCGGGCGGGAGGTCCTGGGGGTCAGGGCTTCTAACGGAGCAAAATGGGGCCGGAGACCCCAGTGGGGAGAGGGGGACGCGACGTGGAGTTCGTGGGGCGTGCGGTGCTCCCATCCCAGGGTTTGGTTGGGAGCAGAACCACTTGCTTACTGTCTCCCAGGCAGAAGGGGTGTAGGGAAGCCCAGAGCGCACGCAGGATTGAGACCAGCGATCTCCCACGTTTTTCATCTCATGGCACACATAAACTAATTTCTAAAATTCTGCGACACACCTCAACATATATTTTGTTGATCTGACAAAAAAAAGGTATAAATTTGATTCATTCACACCAGATCGCTATTGTTGTGTTGGCTCTTATCGTTTTTATTGACTTCAGAGAGGAAAGGAGAGAGAGCGAGAGAGAGGAGTATCAATAATGAGAGGGAATCATTGATCGGCTGCCTCCTGCACACGTTACATTGGGGATTGAGCAATGCCTGCAAGGAATGGAACCGTGACCTCCTGGTTCAACCACTGAGCCTTGCCAGCCAGGCCTGTTATCATCTTTTATTTGACAATCTAAAAGGAAAGAGGTCAGTGCCCCTGATTAATTAGTCAGGTATTGCATTAAAAACTCATCCAGGGAACTTACCCTCCTCTCCCCCACCCCAACCAAAGGTGTGATAGGAAGAGGGCACGAGGAAATAATAGCAAAGGCCATCATTTATGGAGCTCTTCCGATGTAACAGATGCAAGCACTTCATCGGGCTGGTGGTGATCCTGCCTGTGCGGCTGTGAGGCAGGGATGCCAGCACTTCCGCGGCTGGGAAGCCAGAGGCAGGTTCTGAGCTTGCCTGAGCTACCCAGACCTTGAAACAGTGGTCTCCTATCCAGAGACCTGATCCAAGGCAGGTGACGGAGAAGGGGATGCATACCTGCACCCCAGAGCCTGAGGTGCCCAGCTGAGGAGCAGTAGGAGTGAAATGGGGGTTTCCTGGGCAGCCAACCCCAGAGGGATGCAGTGTGGGGCAAGGGCACTGTGGACCCCGCTTGGCCGAGCTGGAATTAAGCTCCTCTGCTCTGCCATGGGGAGGGCTGAGAAGCAGGCTGGTGGAGTTGAATGGGGCTGGGTAGCCGCAGAGGTTGCCAGGGGCCTTTCTTGGCTAAAAGCTAGTTCTCCTGCCCAAGCCCCAAGGAGCCTGCTTCATCCCCAGCCTTTCCCTTTCTGACCTGGGCTGTTCTTGCAGGAAGGACTCTGGTCTGTGTGACAACTTTGGAGTCCAGCGGCTTCCATGGGTATCTGGGGAGGTAGAGGCTGAGAATGGCCCATAGCCCTCTCAAAAGTGAAAGTGCACGGAGTCAGGCCTCTGAGTTCCCCAGCCTTATGAGGTCCTGGCCTCAGATCACCCCTTTGGCTCATCAGACTCCCATTCGCGCCTCTCACACCCATGGCTGCCTCTGTTTCGCTGAGGGTCCCTGCTGCTCCCTGCTGTGGGCCCCGGGCTGTGCTTAGACTGAGTTGGGAAGTTGGCGTGGGCCTTCGAAAGCCAACCTGGGGTGTGGAGGGCCCTCTGTCTTGCTCCCCGACCGCCTTCCATGCTGCTGTGCCCCGTCGTTCCGCAAACCTTACTACCAACGGCCGCCTTTCGTCAGCTGAGAACATCCCCAAAGAAGCAGGTGTGGACCCTCACTCACCGCAGTCAGGAGCTCCCGCTGTGGGGTCAGGGCCACGGGCGAGGAGGTGAGGACAGGGATGCTGCGGCCTGATGGTGGGGACGGGGAGAGACTGAAGGGCTGTCAGAGCCCACAGGTAGCCCACAACCAGGGGGCTGGCTGGGTTCCTGGCCGATGCCTGGGAATGGAGTCAAGCAGGTGAGGGAGCACAGACAGGTGCTCTGGAAGCAGGGCACAGCAAGAGTTGGAGCCAGACCCGGAGAGGGAACAGAGAAGATGGTGAAGGTGGTGGGACAGAGAGGCGAGCCAGAGGCTGGCCAGTGACGGCGGTCTTGATGGCGTTGATCTACTGTGCTAAGCATTCGCCATGGGTTACCACCGCTCAGCAGCCTGCAAAGGAGGTGCTCTGGCTATCCACACCTGCTTAGAGATGCTGTCACTGGTTCAGATACACAGCCCATGGTGGAGCCAGGATTCGACCTCTGGCCTGGGTGATTGGGACGAGGAGAAAGTTAGTGTGGGATGGCCTGTAACTGCAGGCCCGGGGGAGAAGGTGTGTCTGTCGTGTGCCCATCGTAGGTAGGTTGGTCTCAGGTCTGTCCCGCAGGTCATGAACCCTTGCCTGGGTCTTGCTGTTTGCTTGGGATCTGTTACAGGACCAAGAGCCCAGCCAAATTTGGCTACAGAAGGCATGCTCTCAATCCACAGGCTCCTCTGGGAATCAGTGAAAGAGGCCCTCCTGGCCAGCTCTGGCCCCTCGTAGACTTGATTGGAAGGAAACCACCTGTCTTAGGGAGCTCCTGGGGCTCCCTTCTGAGATTTTGGGGGGTCAGGGAGCTCCAAAAGTCCAAACCCTATCCCTTCACTGGCTGGTCTGCTGTTGAGGTCACCATGGAAACAGCTCCCTGGCGGCCTTCTGGGGGAGAAGTACCAATTGTGAGAGAGAATTGAGTTCTTGTCTCTGCCCTGTTCCCCCTTTTATCGCCTGGGAGTGCGGGGGATAGGTCTGTCTCAGAGGGCCCTCCCCGGTTGATGCTCTCAGCTATGGAGCAGGAGTGGCACCGAGGGCTGTAGGGTGAGGAGGTGCCATGACCAGATGCTGCTGACAATACTTGTGAACGCTGAACACGTACTGTGTTCCCGACACTGTGCTTAGGGCTTTCTCAGGGTTCATGTCGGCACAGTAACTCCACTTCACACGTGGGGAACAGAGGCTCGGTGAGGTGGAGTCACTTGTCTGAAGTCCAGCAGGTAGTCCAAGGCATAGCAGAGGTCGAAGCTCACATCTGTCTCCCTGGAACCCTCTTCCTAGCCACGGTGCTTCCCAGAGCCCCTGGCCTGAGTTCCTAAGAGAGGCAGAAGCTGGGCCTCGTCGGGGCCTCTTCAGTGCTTCTGGCAGTTTACAAGCTGCTTCCACAGCTGCATGTGCAAGGAGAATAATCTTGTCCCCATTTCACAGATGAAGAAACTGAGGCTCGGCCCCAGCAATCTCATGGGACTGAGGTCTCAGTGACACCGGACTCGGGGTGGAGGTGGCTCTTCCTGAGGACACAGAGGAAAGGGTGGGAGGCCGGTTTTCTATCCCCCATCCTCAACTCTAAGCCCTCCTCCCCCTACCCCATCCCCCCTTCTCAGACACTCCTGCCAGAGTTTGTCTGAGAAGCCCAGGCCCCGGGCTCTGCTGGGACTGTGGCCTCAGCCCTCAAAATAGCCCTGCCTGTGAATGAACACGCTGTCCCTGGGCCCAGAGAGCCTCAAGGGAGGCTTGGCTCACATCTGGATGGATCTGCCCCAACCTGGGCCCAAGGGTGGAGGGGAGCAGGGGGCAGAGCTCCCAGACGGTCAGCCCTTTCTCCGGATGGCCGAGAGACGCCTGTCCCAGCACCTCCTAGTGAAGCCCAGAGGGTGAGACTGTACAGTGGCATTTCGGGCACCATCACGTCCTGGAAACAAGACAGACTGTTGGACAGCACGCACTTCCAGCCCAGCTCTTCTACCAACTGGCGGGGTGCCTCTGGGCCAGTCACTCAGCAGCTGGAGACCTTTAATGGCTGTGACCTCGCTGGCTTACAGTGAGGATAAAGCCCACGTGTCAGACCTCGGAATATTGGGCAGAAAATGCCCGTGGGGGGAGGGCCGGTGGTCTGCTACCATTAGCTCGGCTTCCAGAGGTCACCACTCATTCAAGCAGCATCCATTGGCACCTGCTACGTGCCAGCTCCTGGGCTGGAACGGGGGCCACAGAGTGAAGACCATTCCCCGAGCTCCCAGTCTGAGGGAGACAAAGAGAAACCCAGTGATTCCCCTCCTGAGATATCCTGGGGAAATGTCCCCGGAAAGGCAGGAAGTGCCGGCCAGTTGCAGGAATAGAGAAACCTTCCCAGGGAGACAGGAGCAGAGAGCATGTTTCCTGGCAGAGGGAACACGCTGAGGGAAGGCTGGGAGGAAGAATCCATAGTCTCCTTCTGAGGTCAGTGAGCAAATCGTTGGGCATAGAGCCAGGCACCGGGGAGAACCACTGTGGGCTTTGCTTTGCCCTTTAATGTGAGATAGTTATGTATTGGATTCTCTTTAAAAGGCAACTGACCACATAGGGAAGAAATGAGGAAGGTAAAATGCTTCTCTCCCATTCTGTCTGCCCACCACCAAATTCCTCCTCTCTGAGGAAATCTATGAGCAATTTCTTATGTGCCCTTCTCTCTCTCTCCCTCTCTCTCTCCCTCTCTCTTTCCCTCCCTCTCTCTCTTTCTCTCTCTTTCTCTCTCTCTCTCTCCATCTCAGCACATAGGTTCCTGTGTGCCTTTGTCCTTAAATAATGTTATCTCGACATCATTCCATTGCAGTTCATAAAAAGTTTCTTCTGCCCTATGCTGCAGAGAACTTTATCGTGTGGCTGTGATGTATTTATAAGTCCCGCATTACTGGGCATGGAGGTTCCCGCGTTCATTGCGATCTGACCCGGCTTCCTAATACTTGTTTCTCCCCTCCTGTAGAGTGGCCGCCGTGACCTGGGAGGCAGCTGCTTGAAGGTGAGGGGGGTGGCCCCGCTTCGAGTGCCACGGAGATGAGCCTGGACCCCGGTGGCATTTGCTCCAAGCAGGACCCTGGAGAAGGAAGCCGGAGGCCAGCCGCTGGGTGAACAGGGGAGAAGACCCCAGGAGCCGATCCTACCCCTCGATTGTATAGGGACCAGAGGACAAAGGCTTGGGCCCATGACCCCCTGGACAGGCCCCCTGGGACATCTCTACCCCACCGTGGAGAGCTGTGAAGACCCATCCAGCTGGCCCCAGCCCTGGCTGGTCAGAGACAAGGCAGAACTTTTGGAAAAACAAAGACTGTTGGTGACAGAGGGTGTGTGCATGTCTGTGCATGAGTGAGTGAGTGTGTAAATGTGTGTGTGTGTGTGTGTGTGTGTGAGAGAGAGAGAGAGAGAGAGAGAGAGAGAGAGAGAGAGAGAGAGAGGATGCGTGGATTTAAAATAAAAGGTATTTTTAAATAAAAGATGTTCCCAACTGAGGAAGGGAAGGGTCTGGGGACATCGGTGGCCAGAGGTGACCCTTCCCCTGGACCTCGGCAGAGGCACAGATGTCACCAGTGCTGCCCTGTGCCCGGAGGGATGGGCTGGGCGAATGCAGGAAGACCCCAGAAGTCAAGATCACTAAACGTTCCACATCGTCTTCTTGAATACCTGTTAGGTGTCTGGTGTAGTTGGCAAAGAAATCTTAATTTTATTCATTTTTGAATAAGGAATATATTCATTCACAGGGTGCAACATTCAAAAGGTACAAGAAGAAGGTATACAGTGACTACAAAGATGGGTGGTGCCAAAGGGTATCAACACCTCTCCACCTACCCCTTCTCTCTGCAAGCAGCCTCAGCCACCAGGTGTGATGCCCATTTCCCGTGAATAACCGAGCAAACACACTTCCACTCTTGACACAAAGGGTGCATGCTACACAAGCTTTCTGCTCCTTGCTTTTTTGTTTTGTTTTCCTCTAACTTGGCTGTCATCTCAGATCAGGTCACAGAGGTAAAGGGCCCCCTTATTCCTTTAGTGGCTGCTCATTCCACTCTGAATGTGCGATGCAGGCAGACCTCGGAGATAGTGCACGTTCGGTTCCAGGCCACCACAGCAAAGCAAGTATCGTGATAAAGTGAGAGTCATAACCTTTATGCTGCTGGAAGGTTTTTGCCTTTAAAAAAACGTCTATGAGGCGCTATAAAACGTGTGATACGGTGAGGTATGCCTGTACCTGAACCCATCTCCTATCCTGTCCTGACAAGTGGTTGTGTAGGCAGTTTTCCACCTGTACTAGAAGGGGGTATTCTTACCCTGTTTTGAGATGGTTTAGAGCACATGTGTCAAACACAAGGCCCGCGGGCCAAATCCGTCCCGCCAGGCCTTGCAATGTGGCCCGCACCACGCTGTCATCACTGCACTCCGCTGCGTTTCCATCACAATGACAGTTTATGACTGTTCAGTAAACCATTCGGCCCGCGATTTAGGCTGGATTTTAGATTTTGGCCCCTTCTCTGATTGAGTTCGACACCCCTAGTTTAGAGGAATGACGGCGCCTAACAGTGTGGGGCTGGCATGTAGTAGGGTGACAGTGTGAGATCCACCTACCTTTAAAGCCTCAAGTGGGCTCCCTCCCCTGCTGGAGACGCCCCAGATGCAGTGCCAGCTCCTGGGACCCCCGTTTTCCCAGCAGCCCCGGGAGGTGGAGGCTGGTGTTTCCCCATTTCACGGGTCCGGCTGAGACCGCGATGGGGACAGCTGGCCAGTGGAGCCGGCAGTTCATGGCTCTCAGGATCAGAGCCGCTCGGGGCAGAGGAGCTGGGAGAGGCTGCAGAGCCAGGCAGCGCCTGCTCCTAAAGGCATGCTCATGTGCCTATTGTTTAAATTAATTTAGCAAACACTTTCATTGTTTACCCACAAATCTAGCTCTGCAGTCCCCGCTCAGATCCTCTCTGCCATTCCTCCTTGGCCTCTCTGCCTGAGCCTGCAGTGAGCTGCCCTTTTGCAGATGAGCAAACACTACCCAGCACCCTCCCTGTGCCAGACACCACAGGACATCTGCCTCCCGGACAAACCAGGACCCCAGGAGACCAAAGGGGTCGCTGGAGTTGCCAGTCCAGGTTGGAGTAGGCCGTGAAATCACTCCATGTGGCCCGTTCGGTAGAAGAAGTAGAGGAAGGAGGGCCGCAAGGGGCCCGGGTCCTGGCCCAGGACAGCCTTCCGAGTGCCCTCTACCTTGCTTCCCCGGTGTTCCAGGGACACTCGTGTTCCCATCCCGTGGCGCTTCCCCCTTCGGGAGCTAATTAGGAAAGCACATTGCACTCCCTGTGCACACCCGGGGCCAGGGCCAGGCGGCCCCTGGCAAAGCCACAGGAAAAGGCCTGCGACCTCGTCAATGGCAGGAAGCCTGGGAGTGGGGGCAGCGCAGGCACTTGGGTGCTCTGGGCTGGAGGCCCACTGTTGCCACCAGATTTGCTGGGTGACCTCAGAAAAGTTGCTTGACCCCTCTGGGACTCCTTGGCCCGATCTCTAAGCAGCAAAAAACAGATGGGACAAAACGATAAGTATTTGTTTTTACCTTGTCAAATAGTTTTCATAGGCCATTTATACCCTGGGCAAATCATTCAAATTGTATCTAATAATATGCAGTGAAAAGTACTTACCTCCCAAAAGCCACTGCTGCAGGCAGTTTCCTGGGTGCCCTTCCGGAAAGGCTCTCAGGCGTCCTCAAACTGTTTAAAGTGGGGGCCAGATCACGGTCCCTCAGAGAGCTGGAGGGCCGGACTATATGAACTACTAATTCCTACTGTAACACCTCGGCTGCGCTCACTGCCCAAAAAACCTGGCGGGCCGGATCAGACTCCTCTGCGGGCCGCATGTGGCCCGAGGGCCGTAGTTTGAAGACGCCTGACTGATGACTGCTTCTGAAAGAGTATTAGTGGGGTTTCATTGTAAAAAAAAAAAAAAAAAAAAAAAATCAAATGCAGCAAGAACCTAGAGCTCTCACCCATCCCAAAGGTAAGCAGTGAACACGAATCCTGCAGAGTTCTTGTGAAACACACACAATCACTCACAGCTAAGCATGCAGCATGCAGGCGGGAACGTGCAATGCTGTTAAGTGTACAGCACAATGAGTTTCCGCGAGCTGAGACACCTGCATACCCAGCATGCCGGTCACGGCCTCCCCGGAGCCCCTCTTGCACTCCTTTGCTCAGACGGGGTTCTTTCGATTGTATTTCCTTTGAAGCAGATAACACGTGTGCGGAGCTCACAGTTCAGAAGACACAATAGAGAATAAACTTCCACCCACTCAGTTCCAGCTCACACAGGCAATTACTTAGCCAGGGTCTTGGGGATTCCGGCCAGATAGTCTTCCTAGATGCAGGCAAGTCACAAAGTGTTTTCACACAGGTTGTAACGTTTCACACACTGTTCTGTGTGTTTTTTTTTCCTTATCCATATATCTTGGAGACTCTTCAGTGCTAAAAGAGCTGCTTCACACTTTTCCCGGCTGCATAGTGTTCCGTTCTGCACGTTTTGCAGCCTGCTGTCTTCCTTGAGTTCCCGGGTAATAGTTAATGTCTACGAGCCTTTGTGAGCAGCAAGGCCAGCCTGACACATGTGACTTGACAGAGGACAGCTGCGGACCAGGACCTCTGGGGCCATTTGGCTAACACCCCTGCCCCCAACACACACGTTTTGCCATCGGGATGGGCCAGCCCCGCCAGGCTCCTCCAGGCTCCCTGAGTGCGGGTATCTTCGAGCTAGCGGAGTAAAGGCACTCAGGAAAAAGAAACTCGGGGTCGAGGGAGTGGATGACCAGCTTCAGCCAAGTCACCTGGGACCCTGAAGAGGAGGCTGAAAACTCCAGGGCACTTCTTCCACCCCCATGAGGGGCAGCAGCATGAGCAAGAATGATCTAGAGTTCATCATTTTACAATGAGGAGACCTAGCCAATACAGAGGAAGCAACCTGCTGGGCCTCCGGGAACTCGGGTCTCCCTCCTCTAAGGGAGAACACAGGGCTCCCTTCCCTAAGCCCACAATTGCAAGCAGGAAGGCCGCACCGATCGCCCATGGCAATGGGGTAACCAAAGCCCAGAGAAGGACAGCAATGGCCATGGTCACACAGCATTTGGAGCTGAGCAGAGCTAAGAAGGCCCCTTTCTCCAGACCAGGGCTTCTCCACCTCATTTAATTCCCCCTCATTGGCCCAAGCCACTTCCATTTTATTAGGCTCCTATTAGATTACACTTATACACACACACACACACACACACACACACACACACACACGCAAAACAGAATTCTGAGAGCTGGCATAATTGGCAAGTTAATTCTTAAACACCCATACACAGTCACAAGTAGAATGCATGACCATGAGAGCATTAAGTAGAGGATTTACAAACACATTAGGACACCCATGTAAAGTTGAAGGTCTTTATTCAATCCAGTCTGCAGGTTTTCCTTCACGTGGACATGACATCAAAAACCTAGACCTCAATGGAATAATGCAACACATGACCTGGATTAGATCCTGTACGGCACATCGAGAACATTATTGGGTAGTTGACAAAATTGAGGTAAGAACAAGAGATAAAAGTCTGTGTCAGTACTACATTTTCTGAATTTGCTAATAGCATGACAATGTAAGAGGGTCCCCTTGCGCTTAAGAAATACACCCTGAAGCATTTTGAAGGGGTAGAGGAACATGACGAGGGGACCTACTCCCAAATGGTTCAGAAAAAAATGTGAGAGGAAGAGAAGGATAAAGCAAATGTGGCACACTGTTACAACTTGTTGAATCCAGGTGAAGAGTACATGGGAGTGCTCTGTGTTACTTGTCACTTCTCTGTGTGTTTGTAAATGGTTGCAGAATGAAAAGTTGAGGTTGGGATTTTGGCCCGCTGGGATGTAAGGCCTGCCAGACGGTGCCCTGGCCCCTCTGACTCTTCCTCACCTCAGCTGCTCCAACAGAGGATGGAAAATACCCCCAGTGGACCCAGGCACCCCTGCCCACGGCTCTCAGGCCCTGTGCCCTCTGGGAGGCTAAGGTGCTCCCAGCCCCCAAGTCTCCTGCCACCATGATTTATGTCCCTGGGAGCCTCAGCAGCTGTGAGCCCCGGTCCCACCAGGCGGCCTGCAGGGGGGTGGGGGGCGCCAACTTTTGCTTCTCAGCGTGTCTAATTCAGACCAGACTCACAGGCCCCATGGGCCTCGGATCAGGCTCCCAGGGGGCCGGGGTCAGAGGGCAGGCCTGCATGGCTTGGAAACCCAGGAGGCGCTGAGGGTGAACTGGCTGCAAAGCAGGACCCGCCTGGTCTAGCGTGGCCTCTGCTCCTGTGTGACCTGGGGTGGGTATCTGCCCATCTCTGGGCCTTGCGTTTCCTCATCTCGGTACAGAGGGTGGACCAGAAGGACTTTGTAAACTGGGACACACTGGCCTTGTAGGAGGGAAGGCTGGTAAAATCTAGGAGTTGATTTCCCCCCCCCCCCCCCTGAATGCCCAGATCTTCAAAGGTTAGAAAAATGCCTTTTTTGAGGGCCTACTATGTGTCAGTCCTAGGTCTTCCCGCTTTACTAAGTTAATTAATACAGGCTATTCAACAAGTTTGTACTATCATTGCCCTATTTTATAGATGAGGAAACTGAGACCCAGGGAAGTTAAAGAACATGCCAAGGACTTGGTGTCTAATAAGCAAACGGATCTGAACCAGGTATTCTGGCTGCAGAGCTCCCCTGGGCTCTCAACCACAGCCCCACACGTCTTCCTCTAGTCCCATAAGGGCCCGACAAACTTGGCTTCCAGAACAAGGCAGGAGAGGGCATCCCCAGCCTGGCTCTTTACCCCGACCCCTGGCCCAGAGGAGCCCAGGACCCAGCTGCACCAAGGGCATCAGAGTCTGGGACGGTCCGGGAAGCTGCACCCCCCGCGGGCTCCCCAGCATTGCGGACACCCCCAGGACCAGAGAGGCTCAAACACAGGTTCCCAGAGAGTGTAAATGGAGGGGCCTCTGAACCTTCTCTCCTCAGAGCCCATTAGTCACCAGCGGGGACACTGAGGCCCAGAGCAGGCGAGGCGGTATCCCCAACATCACACGGAGAGTCAGAGAGGAGCCAGAACCAGT